TTTCATCAAAACAACCTTTCTTGATGTCGTTTTCTTTTTTTTATTTCTTTTGTATTTAGATAGATAATTTTAGCATTATATTATATATTTAAAAAATAGATAAATTACCTATACAGAAAAATCTTGAGTGTGCATTGTACACCACATACAACTTTACACAATATTACATAAATTTTCATGAACTTACATAAGTAGTTTCACAAAAAGATGTAAGTTTAATACAAATTCGTATAATTCTTATACTTTCCATTTTGTATCATTTTAATTATCAAAATCAAAATAAAAAAACAAAAGAAATTGATGGAAACGCAATTGCTATTTTGTTGACCAACTAGCTATATACAAGGTTTGATGGAATAAGAACGGCATAATATCTTCTATCGTTAAAGTTTATGTTCTTCTGTTATTACTAATTGTACTATCGTGCCTTAAAATTCACATATTTTATAGATTCTTATTAGATCATACATTAAAGCATAATGGAAAAATTTATGAAATACAAGATTGTTAGCGGGATTAAAAAAAAAAGGATCACAAGATTCAGAATTCCATTAGATTATTTAATAGAAGAAAAAGGTCCACTTATGATTATTTAATTAAACACTGTTTACCAATTGAGTCAAAGCCATGGAAGAAGCATCACAACAACTCCATCATGTTCATGTTGTTAACTTAAACAAGAAAATTAGAGAGAAAAGAAAAGAAAAGAAAAGAAAAAAAGGTAAACGCAAGAAAAGAAAGTCCAAACCACATCTTGGGTTAATACTACTCGACTAAAACAAAACAAAGTTGAATTTGGGCTCTGCATCATCAAGTATGAAATCATACTTTTGTTTCATACAAATTTGTGGGCTAAAGGTCCTACTGTACCTTATATATTTGTTGCCAAACATCACCTGTGTTGGTCTATTATAAACGTGAAGGCTCTTTTGGACCACAACGAAAGTCATAAATGCACCACATATATAATCAAAATACATGATCTAATCCATTCTAAATCCATTCACAAATAGCTGTGTGAGTTGATAAGAAAATCCATTCTAAACACATTATCTAATCAAAATACATGATCTAATCCAAATTGCGCAAGCATAAAACAAGTATAATTAAATTGCATACCGTGTTCTGCCCAAGTGGAGCTCTGAGGGCCAGCTGATCAAATGTCAGGCACTCACCACCGGCCTTCTCAATCCTTGCTCTCGCTGTCTCTGTGAACCTCAGTGCAGTCACCTTCAAGGCAGGAACTTCATGGGCCCTAATGTCATCAGTAATGGTACCAACAACGACGGCAATCTTTTCCCCCTGGTACAAAACCAGTAGCAATGTTAAACAATTATATCCACAAAAACACTATTTTAGAGTATACAATTGATTCTAAAAATAAATAACAATACATGAATTTAATTCTAAAGCTCCGTTGAACAACAAAGAGAATTATGTTTAGAAACAAATGGTCAAGAAATGGCACAATCTTTCTATAACGGAAATGAAGCAACTTGGAAAAGCATTTTGAGTCATTTTTCCACTTTCTGTCCATGACAGATTCACAATGAGATCTAAATAGACCTAAATCTTCAGTTTCTGATTATTTGGGATATGACCAAAAAATAAAAAAGGGGGAGTTTCTACTAGTCAGAGCATAATACTGTGAATTCTTAGTTTTTTCAACTTCCAAAGCGACAGAAATATTCAAGATTTCTTCTTTTAAATATATATATTTGTGGCAGCTTCCTCATAACTTGAATCCTAATGCATTTTCCACGTATTGCATACAATATTCACAATTTTTAGAGATGTTTTCACAATTTTTAGATAGTTTCATACACCATTCACATTTCTATAACAGAAATGATTCCACTTGAAAAATAATTTTTAGTCATTTCCCCTTTTCAGTCAATCATAGATTCACAACAAGATCTAAATAGACCCTGAATCTTCGATGTCTCATTATTTGGTATATGACAACCAAAAAAAAAAATGAATCTCTACTCATCAGAGCATAATACTATGGATTTTTCGTTCTTTCAACTTTCAAAGCAACCAAAATATTATAGATTTCTTCTTTTTTATATTTCTTTGTGGAATCTTCCCAATAATTAGAAACCTAATGCATTTTCACATATTTCATACAATATTTACAATTTTTAGAGATATTTTCGTACACTATTCACATACTTCTACACAATTTTTACACATACATCGCAACTAATGACTATAAATCAGAGATATATCTGATATATATATATATATATATAAAACAACCATCGGGCCGAGAGAGAGAGACAGATTGAGAGAGAGAGTTTACCTGTGAGTAGATCGGCGGTGCGATGATCGGTGCGAATCGATCAGATGAGCAACGAGAGAGTAAGAGAGTGATCGGTGCAGAGATGAACGAGATCAGTGTAGAGATAAACGAGAGGGTGAGAGAGAGAGAGAGAGAGAGAGAGAGAGAGGGAGAGGCGACTGAGAGAGTAGGGAGACGATTAGATTTAGGGTTTTTTTTTTTGTTCTAAAGAGATTGGGGATTTTGGGGCGCGGGAATGGAAAAAATGAGGGGAACCGAGCGGGCGGGATGGAAAAAAAAATCATCATAAATAAATATTTAAATAATAAAAATAAATAAATAATAATTTTTTTTTCTTTCCGTTATTAAGGTTGATTTGTTTCGTATATATTTTAATGAAAAATATTTTCACTAAAATAAAAGTTAATTTTCTGTAGTCAATGAAAAATATTTTCCTGCGGTCTATTTTTTTTTATTACTAAAAATCATGAACTAATTTTTTGTAGTAGAGGAAAAGGAGCGGCAGCAGTAGTGAAGGTGGTGGATAAGAGATGGGCGAAAGAGATTAGTGGTGAAGTTGTGGTAGTGGTAGTGTAAATGGAGTGACAGGGGTGAAAGAGAGGTAATGGTAGTAGTAGTGGTAGTGGTGGTAGTGGAGTGGTGGCGATAGTAGTAGTAATGGTAGTGGTAGAGGTGAAGTGGCTACAGTAGAAGTAATGGTGGTGGTGGAATGGTGTTTGCAGTAATGGTGAAGGTGATAGAGGAGACGGGTAGTGAGAGAGAGAAATGAGTGAGAGACAGATACAGAAGAGAGAGAAAGACAGAGTGATGAGCGAGAGAGAGATAAAGAGAGAGAGAGAGAGATATAGAGAGAGATAGAGAGGCAGAGAGAGAAATCGATAGAGAGAGACATATAGAAAAATAGAGAGAAACAAGAGATGAGAGAGACATAGAAAGAGAGCGAAAAGAGATGAACGATAAAGAGAATAGAAAAATAGAGAGATAGAGAGAAAAGAGATAAGCGAGAGAGACAGAGAGAAATAGAGAGAAGAGAGATGAGCGAGGGAGACACAGAGAGAAGACAAATGAGAGAGATAGAGAGAAGAAAGATGAACGAAAGACACACAGACAAACAAACAAACACATAGATAGACAAACAGACAGAGAAATAAGAGTGATGAGTGAAAGAGAGAAAGAGAGAAAGAGAAGAGTGGTGGTAGTTGAATGGCATTTGCAGTAGTGGTAAATGTGGTAGAGAAGATGGGTAATGAGAGAGAAAGATGAGTGAGAGACGAATAGAGAAAAGAGATAGAGAGACAGAGTGATGAGCGAGAAAGAGACAAAGTGGTCGCTAAAAGTGCATTTTCTTGTAGTGGATCGATAAATAGATAGGGAGCTCAATAAATAAAGAAGACAGATAATTCAAAACTCTGTTCAAAACTTAATTCAAATCAGTTTTTTAAATATTTTAAATATTTAAATATTTTAAAAATATTTTAATTTTGTGAGAGACAGATAAAAAAGAGAGATAGAGAGAGAGACACACACACAGAGATAGAGTGATGAGTGAGAGAGAGATAGACAAAGTGGTTGCCAAAAGTGTATTTTCTTATAGTGGATCGATAAATCGAGAAGGAGCTCGATAAATAGAGAAGATAGGAGTAAGAGAGTGAGCAAGTCGAACATAGTGAGGGAGAAATAAACAAATAGACAAGTAGACACAGAGAGAGAAAAGAGTGATGAGTGAGAGAGAGACAGGGAGAGAGAGATAGACAGAAAAGAAATAGAGAGAGAAAGAAAGAGAGAGATGGAAAGATAGAAAAAGAGAAAGAAACAAGAGATGAGCGAGAGATAGACAAAAAAAGAGAGAAATAGAGCGAAAAGAGATGAGCGAGAGAGAGACACAGAAAAAGAGAGAGACAGAAAGAGAAGAGAAATGAGCGAGAGAGATAGAAAGATAAAAGAAAGAGAAAGAGAGAGAAAAAAAAAGAAATGAGGGAGATAGAGATAAGAGAGATGAGCGAGAGAGACAGAGAGAGAAAACAGATGAGAGAGATAGAGAGAAGAGAGATAGGCGAGAGACACAGAGAAAAAATGAGAGAGAGAGAGAGAGAAACAGGCAGACATAGAAAGAGAGAGAGATAGAGATAGAGAGAAATGAATGAAAAGAGATAAAGAGAAGATAGAGAGATAGAGACAGAGAGACAGGAAAATGAAAAAATGAATGAAAAGAGAAATGTTATATCAAAAGAGTAAGACGACATTGTTTTTTTTAATTTTTTTTGCGACAGAAAAATACCGTTGAATTTATTCAAATCATTTTGTGACTGTATATATATGAAGCTATCTCAAAACCACAATCACCAAAATCTTTTAAAAATTCACTAAATACCAAAAATACAAAAAAAAAAAAGAGAATTCAGTATATTTTTTGTATTTTTATGTATTTATTAATTTTTAAAAATATTTTTTCATAAATTTTTTATTTTTTAGATACATCTAAGTAAGGTACATCTAAAAAAAATATTTAAAGTTTTAAAAATATTCACTAAAAAAAAACACGAAAGCCACTTTTTGTGACGGCAGAAAATGCCGTCTCAAAAAAGCAGAGTATTTGCGACGGCACCATTTGCCGTCTCAAAAAAGCAGAGCATTTGCAACGGCACTACTTGCCGTCTCAAAAAATGAGAGTATGTACCGTCGCAAATACTCTCATTTTTTGAGACGGCAAGTAGTGCCGTTGCAAATGCTCTGCTTTTTTGAGACGGCAAATGGTGACGTCGCAAATACTCTGCTTTTTTGAGACGGCATTTTCTGCCGTCACAAAAAGTGACTTTTTGAGACGGCAAGTGTGCCGTCGCAAATAGTTCCGTCTCATATACCCAGTTTTCTTGTAGTGGTTTAGATTATAAAAACGGGACCTATGGTGCGTCCCATGGACCTAAACAAGACCAATGGATTAGAGAGGAGTTGCCTATTAGAGATGGAAAATAATATCTTGCTCATATTGAATTTTTTATTCAAATTTTTTTATTTGAATGATGTGGCATGAACAATTTTAAAAATAGGATTCACTAATTTTTTCACTATTTTTATTACCAGCTACATCATAATATATTAGACGATTATATATCACATATTTATATCATCTTTTTATATCACCAACCTACTTGGAACGATGTCATTTGTTTGCATTAATTTGTTGACAATTATTTTCAAATAAGAGAATTAATCATAAGTATCCATATAGATGGCGACACAAAATAATGATGAATAATTGGTCATATATAGCATTTCTCTATGATAATATGTTACTTGTTTTCATTAATTTCTTAATAATTATCTCTAAACAAATGAGACAATTATAAATATCCATGTAGACAATAATACAAAACAATGATAAAAACATATATGACATATATAACATTTCTTTTTTCAAATATAAATAACTTTGATGAGTCTTTTAATTCTAAATGATAAAATTAAAACTTGCCACTGTATTAATTTGATGCAAAAAAAAACTTTCAAACAAGATTATGGAGATACAGAATAAGCATGACATAATCATACATATCACATGAAAAGAGTGAGACTTATCATAAAATATGCAGTTTCATTCTCAAATTAGTTTACCTATATTTTATGTTATTGATTTTGTATCCACAAATTTATTTTAATTTTTGTATTTCCGTCTAGCACTATACTAATTAGAAATTCATATGACAACATCTTCGTGACAGCTCCTTCCTAGGCGACTATTTCTATACTGGTGATTTGAGCGATAGTTTCACCTATAAAATAACAGGGTCTTCTTTGGTATCCTTAGAAGTGCCAATAGTGCGAGGGGAAGACGACTACGTTTCAGGGTTCCACGTGGGAGTTGTTTACTATAGAGCTAGGGATAAAGAAAGCTACTCCATGGAATTAAATGATTCTCCATACGTCATTATAACTGATAAAATTAATGGCATCGATTATACTTATACCCCAACCTTGTTGACGTCCCTAAGAGTTGTGCAGATTATGTTTAGGGAAACCGTATAAGAGTTGAAGAATATTTTGGGTATAGAATTAAAGGTTGTGGGCAATTCGGGATTTCTTTCATTATGCCGTCACCTTTTAAAGAAAAGAATTGTGCGATGGATCTGATTGTCAACATATGCATCACCAACTACTATGAGTATGTACTGGAACCCTCCTTCTACAGATGAGGGAGGATGATCATGAAAATTGTCCCCAAAACATCAATTGTAATTGGGCCGTCTCACATTTTCCATTGAATAAATATGAATAAATTGTAAATACATTCTTTTGAGATTTGCTTAAAATCTCTTGTAATTTTGAAAATTATAAATACTTCATTATTAGAATTTTTTATTTCAACAATTAATAGAAAAAATAAAATTTATAACTACTCTTATATACAATAATAAGATTGCCAAGAATTTTAAATAAAATATATTCATTGTTAAAAATTGTTAATTGATTTAATAATTTATTAATAAAATGGATAATTTGTTATGCAATTAAAAATTTGAAAGGGCCGGATGTTATATTTAAAAAGGATAATTGTTGGAAAATTCCAAGATAAGAAGGGTATAAGATATTAAATCCAGTGAATATTTTTTATTAGTAAAATTACGGTATAAAACATTTGGACAAATCTTTGCTTTAAATGCACAAATCTTTAGTTCAGTATTTCCTTTTTTTACTGGCTACAAGCAATTCTCACAGTTCTTTTTATTAAGACCAATTTGTAATATATCTTCTAATGAATTGTTAATTTAATGAAAGGTAGGGTAATGCTCAACCGTCTTAAATTTTATAGATATGCTCCCAAGCATTTTTGTTTAAGATTTTGAAAACAAGGTACAAAATATATATAAATTAATTTTTTTTTTTAAAAAAAAAAATTTGTTAATATGATCTACAAAAAAATAAAATAAAATAAAATAAAATAAATTATCCAACCATATATATTTATGTCTAGTTATGTGGTTTGTTAAAGATTCTTAAGTAGTGTTTGATTTATCAAAAGAGAATCATTATTATATTAAATTTTTCATTCTCATATTTGATTGATTAAAAAATTAATAAAAAATACATTGCAAAATAATTTATCATTCTATTGCGAAGCCCAATAGTCATTCCCTTCCATGTGATCTCGTTCTAATCAGACATGCGTGTTAGTCCAGGCAACTTTAGCAACCGAGTCCAAACTAAAGAGAAAATTTTTTATATTTAGGCTTCTATCAGATTAGAGCATGTTGTTAGGTTTTGTTTATCCACTATGGAGTCCACTTCAATTATCCGAATCGTTTAATATTTAGGACTTGTCGAGTATTTTATTCCTATAAAAAATCACTTTGATCGAATATTGATAAATACTTGATCGTATCAATTTTGTGTCAATGGTAACTATAATTTTAAAAATAAATTGTTGACACAAGTGTGATTTGATCAAGTGGCTATTAATATCTGATCGACTTGATTTTTTACAAAAATGAAATACTCAATGAACTCTACATATTGTCGGTTTAGATTATCGATGTGAACTCCTTGATGTGCCCACGGAGGACAACAGGACACTCTAATTGGGCCAACTGGATAGGAGTTGATCCCATTTTTTAAATCCACACTTTCGTCTGATCTTTTTATAATTTTAAGCCCAAGTGATCCATATGAGCCTCAAATAGGCCTTAGGGCGTCACCATTTTTACAGTCCAGCTACTTTTTTATTCTTGTCATAGTATCTATACAGTAATTTTTGGAAAAACGATTCACAATAATGGTAACTGGATTCTACACAATCCTGGTAGATACATTAATGGAGTTCTCCATTGGGAAGCCGAATTGTAACAGGCTTTTAGCTCTCCAAAGAGCATTGTTTGCTTCGATTTAGCGAAAGAGAAGTGCAAAGAGATACCGCACTAGCGTATGGAGTTTTGGGGTTTTAGGAGGATCAGAACGCCTCCTTTGTGTACTTTCTTTCAATGGCCAAAAAATTATGCTAATGTCGATGTATATGTAATGTAGGAACACGGGATTAGTGAGTCTTGGACTAAATTGGTTACCATCTCATATCCATTTTTAGGATTATATGTTTCTTTGGGAGGCTCAAGTTGTACGTAAGGAATGGTGATATTATTGTGTTTGAAATTGGGCCACATCTGGTTTTATACTATCCCAAGTGCCATAATTTAATTTGTTCTATAGCTCCTCACTTTTTATCCGGCTGTTATTTTTACACATGTTGAGTGGTTAATTCCACCAAAAGCGAAATTTTTACAGCAATACATCAAGGACATGGGCAGTAGAAAACTATGATTTTTCATCCATTTGATTGATTATTAACATGTGATATGGAGTTTGATAGCTCAAAATGCAGTGCTTTTTTCCCTTATATTTTGGTCCTTTTTTTATTTTTATAGGTTTCCTTTTGAATTTCTAGATTTATGTGACTGGACCAAAATAAGCTCTGTTGAAGCCAATCACATGTTATTGGAAATTAACTTCTTATTAGTGAAATTTTCCTTTCATACATTAGCCTTCAGTCGTGGTGAGTTTTTTATTTTTTTATTTTTTTGGTTACACTGGTTAACCACTGGGTTAATGCCAATGGTTGGTTCAGTTGATTCAAGTAACAGCAACGCCAAATAGTTTGGCATCACTAATAAAATGATATCAACCAACATTTTTGCATCTTTAAAAATGGTTTCAAATAGTATTTTCTGCACTTTCTGCATCCTAAAATGGTTTTGCTGCAGTGTTGTTCTGCATTTACGGCATTGGTAAGATATGTTCCATTGTATTATCTACATTTTCTATGTCATTAAAAATAAATAAATAAATAAATAAATAAACTTTTTGCATCCTTAAGTTGTTTCTGCAGTATTTTTTTTTTTCCTGCAATTTTTACTTCATCAAAATATTTTTGGAAAAAAGCATTCTGCATCTTTTAAGTGCTTTCTGCAGAAATTTTTTTCCTGCAATTTTTACTTCATTAAAATGTTTTTGGCTGCATTTTATTTACCATGAAGAAGCAATTTTTTGCATGATTGTGATTTATATTTTTTCCAAATAATACGGATCCGTTTGAATATATGTAGATTTGAAATACATAGATTGAATTAAATAGTTTTTGTGAAGGCAGAAATTGTCCCACACATTAATCAAGAGATCAATGAAGAATTGAATCACACTGTTCTGAATTTACAAAAAAATAAACAGTTAGTGCCTCTCCACCTGTGGTTGCCAGCCAGAGGGCACTCTAACGATCAAGTTAGATACCATATATCTAAATAAAACTGAATAAGTAAATAGAATGGTTTAGGCATACCCTGAAATTGAAGATTATATCATTTTATATAGGCTAACCTGCCACTCATTTTGTCTAATGAGATTAAGTCACCAATTTGGTCCAATGAAAATGAGCCACTTGTATGACCCAAAACTCATCTGATATATGTATGTCATAGCAACTTGGGAAGTTGGCAAGTTGCATTGCAAGTTGTTTATTTTATTATCTTAATCCTTATTGCATGTAGGTATTGGGTGGGTCCATGTCACAATTTTTATCCCTCAGTTTTAATGATGGATTTAAAATTTATACTATTATATAAAGCAAAGGCTTCGTTTGATGTTTTAATTAGTAAAGAAGGCTCTCACCCCTTAAGTGACACAGAATATATAATAATTTTTTTTTGTTTTATTTTTATTTATTTAAATTACATGTGCATCATGTATGCTAGCTGTTACTAATTATATAAAAATAGTTATTTAAAATCATGCTAAAACTTCTCTTCTAACTTAAAAGATTATGCTAAAATACTTTTCTTTACCTCAATTTATCATTTTCTATAGTTTTTTTTTTTCCTTATAATAATCAACTGTATAATAATTTCAATTTCAATCGAACACATATATCCTAACCGACCCTAAATTCCTGCAAAATCAGTTGAAGAATAAACTTCACAATGCGGTCAAATCTTATATTTTGATGGAAGAATACTTGAATCAAATTAAGGAGATGGCAGATCATCATCTAGCTTTGGCTGCTTTACTTCACCAATGGATGATGAAGATTTGGTCCTTATTACACTCAATGGTCTTCCAGATGACAATTCGAGCCAAGCTGAATCTACATCCACGGAAGTTCTTTCTTCTTTGCTTTGGTTAAGATCATTGAAAAGGAATCCTTGATGGGCCCATCTAGACGGGATAGAAGCTCAATCTATCAATAACTATATCTAGGTGAGAAGAAATTGTACGTTTTCCTTTAATTTCCCATATTTTGTTTTAAGGTTGTGTTTGATTGAAGGATTTGAAAAAGAAAAATGAAAAGTTGTGTGAAATTAGATAAAATATCTGCACATTAACATAACACCTAGTATGAATTCATCAATATTTTTGATGAAAATAACTAGGGAAAATTGCATTGCAGTGGTGCAGTAAAAAAATATTTTTTTAGTGGTATAAGTTTTATGTGTGCATAATGTAAGTATCAAAGCTAAGCATACATTATTTGAAATTTATACTTACTTAAAAACTTAAATCATTAAGTGGAGAGTCTATCTAATGTATATTAAAACTCATTGTTTTTACTTTTTATTCGATATTGGATTCTATCTTCACACATAGTCCAATAATCTCTTCCTCATGTGAAATTAACATTGGGCATTTCCTTACTCCCCTCAAATCTTGATTTATAACTCTCTAACATCGAATTCAACAAAGGTCACCCGCACACACTCCATCGTGATCCATCATATTCCATTGAAAGAGTCACCTTGCCGTAGTCCAACCTCCACGTACATTAGGAATTTTTCTTTTACTCCATCAAAGTTTATGTGCAAATCCAAGTCCATCACATGAATGTTCCAAGAAAATCCGTTTATAATCGTCAGCTATCAGCTCTGGTACAAGTTGTTAGAAAATTAGGAAACTCACAAGTACACAACAATTGAGCCCAATTTAACGAGACACACAAAATTTGAGGTTTTTTTTTTTTCTTGTGTGTGCACGCGCGTGTGTGTAATTTTCTTAAATCTTTTGTGGTGTTTCGTGGAAACAATGGTTGAAATATATGAAAGAAGACTTAAGGTTGTTTTGAAAAAATGGTTAAAAGTTAATTTTTTGACTTTTTTTTAATTTTTTTGAAAAAATATATAAAAATTATGAAAAATGATATAACTCAAAATAAATTAAAAATTCAAATATCCCTTAGTTGTTGCAATTAATAGCCGGGCCTTCCATATGAGCTAAGGAAAGAAAAAGTAAGAGAAAGAGCGAGGTTGACCTGTTGACTGTCCTAATGTAAGAAAATGACATAAGGATGTGCAGTGATGGTGAGTATTTGCGTAAATGATATAAAAAAATAAGGATAAATTATAAATACATTTTTTGAAGTTTGATTAAAATATAAATTATTCTTTATAATTTTAAAAATTATATTTCACCTTTTGAGATTTATAATTTCATAACAAATCGCCCATTTTATTACAAAATCATCAAATCAATTAACAATTTTTAATAATGTTAGAAATATGTTTCAATTAACAATTTAAGTAATTTTATTATTGTATAGGAGAACAATTATGAATTTTATTTTTTTAATTAATTCTGTTAAATAAAACTTTTTAACAAGGGGGAATTTGTAATTTTTTAAATTATATGGGACAATTTGTACTTTAAGCAAACCTCAAGAGATGTATCTGTAATTTACCCAAAAAATAATTAGTGAAAATATTTTAATTTAAAAAAAAATATAAGGTATTAAATTTAATAAAAAATTTATTTTATGAAAAGAATATTTGTTTGGCAAAAGTCCATTAACACTAAAAAACTCCTTACGTTGTATTTGGTTAGGAGATTTGGAAAGAGATTTAGAAATGAAAATGAAAAAGGTGTGTGAAATTAGGTAAAATGTAAGCATATTTCATTCATATTTCACTGACCTTTTCTTTTTTCCTTTGCAAATCCCCCAACCAAATACAGCGTTAGTATGTTTTTCCCAAATGTAACACACTAAAAAACTCCTTAGTGTATTTTTCAAATGTAACAACGTAATACTCCAATCAATGTAACACAAAAACTCCTTAGTGTATTTTTTTTTTCAAACGTAGCATTCTAATGTAACACTCCAATGTAATACCCCAATGTAATACCAAGAAACCACATTAACAGAAATGTAGATTTTCACGCTCGACAACTAACATTTCTGCCACCAATTCTCCCAAAAAGAATCTTTTACACCCCACATTTCCATTCCCATCCCAAAAATGAATTAGAAAATTATAAAAATGAATTATAAAAATGTATTAAGAGATGCAACACTATAACGGTAGATGGAAGTGTTAGGGGACGGGGTAGGCCTAGATTAACGTTGGTTAGCATTGTAAATAGAAATATGGATCTATTTAATTTGACTAACGAAATGGCCTTTGATAGGGCCGCGTGGAGAAGAAGGATTCATGTAGCCGACCCCATTTGATGGGAATTAAGGTTTGGTTTGGTTTGGTTTGGTTAATTATAAAAATGCATTCACTTAAACTCAAATGGCACCAAATCAAATAAGTACAACTTTTCAAAGCAAAAAATGACTAATTGGTTCATAAGAAAACTCTTAGGACTAAATTGATCAAAATTCCTCCATATGAGATTTATAGATAAGTTTTCCTTAAAAGTAGTGATTAAATTGGAGAAAAAAAAGTCATTTAAAATTAAAGAATAATTCTAATTATTTATTTTTGATAATCTCAACTTTATCGTTTTATAAAAATGTTATTTAAAAAAATATATATAATAATTTTATTTCAATTATTTATGTGTATTTTAATAATCTTAATCATATCGTGCTATAAAAGTGTAACTGAAATAAATATATAATGATTTTATATGATACTAAATTATAACATAATAAAATAAATATTCAATTTGATATTAATAATAATAGTTAAATTGGAAATAAAAATAGTAACATACGATTAAAAGTGATTCTAATTATTTATTTATTTTATTCAGTTAGAAATATATAAAAAAAAAAAATAATAAGAATGGAAGTTATAAAAAAAATTATTTTAAAAAATTAAATATAAGTATGCTACGGTTAGATTAAGAAAAAATAGATAAATTAATTATGTTGAGTATTGATTTTTCTTCAATATATTATGTATAATTATATATATGTATATAAAGTTTAAATTGAAAATATATATTTTGGCCCAAACAAATCTGGCCACCAATTTTGTAGATATAAATCATTCATGATGCCATGTAAGATAAAAATATACATTTTTTCATAAACTCTTCTAGTATATTATACAAATATTTGAGTGTATATTTTGAAAATAATTTTTACAAATTTAAAATTCGAAACTTATTTACTCTGCAAGCAAGGTACTAGGAAACTCACGGGTAGCATTATTTTGTGCAAGGAAGGTGCTAGGAAACTTCTCTAAGTGAAGAGGCAAATTTATTACAAGGAAGGTGTTAAGAAACTTTTTTGTGTTGTAACCTGTGTGTAGTGGGGAGAGAGAGAGAGAGTAGTAGAATGATGAAAGAGAGGAGAAGTAATGAGAGAAGAGAGGTGAAAAGGCAAATTTGTTGCAAAGAAGGTGTTAAGAAACTTTTTTTGTGTTGTAACCTGTGTGCAGTGGGGAGAGAGAGAGAGAGAGAGTAGTGGACCGATGAAAGATGGGAGAAGTAATGAGAGAAGAGAGGTGAAAAGACAAATTTTCCTCAAGGAAGGTGTTAGGAAACTTTTTTTTGTTGTAACCTGTGTGTAGTGGATAGAGAGAGAGAGAGAGAGAGAGAGAGAGAGAGAGAGAGAGAGAGAGAGAGTAGTGAAATAATGAAAGATGGGAGAAGTAATGAGAGAAGAGAGGTGTAAAGGTGAATTTGCCGCAAGGAAGGTTGTAACGCCCTCAAATAATGACATTAAACCCATCAAATAAGACATTCATTGACATATGAAATAACCACATTCTTCTATTCATCAGAGTTTCATTACAAAAATATTACATGTTAACAACAAAAGCAAAATGCCCTACAGGCTTACAGCTTTCCAAGTTAACACTTGGTTACAACAAAAGAGTGCTAACTCATCTACACATTAAGCCCTCGGCTTGATTATACATGTAATACATCAAAAAGAACTAAAACAACAACAATATGCTCGCCTCTAGCCTCCCAAGCTATATAGCGACCCCGGTCTTTTCCCTTTAAATTATTGTATCCGGACTTAGGTTCCGTTGATCCTGTCATTACTTATTGGTTGTTGTTGTCCTTTAATATCTTTGTATTTGAAGTATAGGTTGTGTTGGACGGGTCTGTTACAGGTTGGTTGATTTTAGATGCCGATAGGTGATGCCCAGATTTTGGCCTTCACGCTCGAGCGGAAGTTTTAACGCTCGAGCGGTCCCTTCGTTGTTGCTTCTCCGCTCGAGCGGGATTTTTGACGCTCGAGCGGGATTTTCCATCTCCCAGTATTTTGCTCTGCAGTTCTTCCGCTCGAGCGGTAGTTTTTACGCTCGAGCGTGATCCCTTGTTTTGTTCCTCCGCTCGAGCGGGGAGTTTGACGCTCGAGCGGGTGCAGCGCCTGCAAAACTTTTCCTGTGCAGTGTTCGACGCTCGAGCGTGGGATTGGCCGCTCGAGCAATGATTCTGTGTCTTACGCTCGAGCGGGGCTTTCTACGCTCGAGCGTAGAGTCGATTATATCAGTCCGTGATTTCACTTTTTGGATCACTTTTTGACCTACTTTTCCTTCATAACCTTCTAAAAACCGCCCCTGGAGTGTTTTTATCTCTCTCTCTCCCTCTACACACCTTCTCTCTTACGATTGATCTACTTAGAGTGAGTTTCTACCTTAGATCCTTTATTAAAAAGTTAGAGTAAGTTGAGGGCTTCGTTTTAATCTGAGAAACTTGGGATTTGGAGCACGTGGGTCTTTGGTCTTCATCTCCATCTTCTCTATACGGATTATTTCTTCGAGGTAGGGATTTCCTACTCCATTCTATAAGTTTTGTTCTAAGTTTTGGTATTTTGATATGTTGGGGATACTTTGGTAATTTTGGGAAAAACCCTAGTTGTATTAATAAATTAATTTGTATAATTAATTTAAGGGAATTTGGTTAAATTCATGAAATTGAGGAATTCATTGATTAAATGGTGTGGTGGGATAATTTAAACCACTCGCCTAGTGAATTGTTGTTATATTATTTCCAGTCTAGAAATAACTGTTTTGGGCTATCGGTGGAGGATAGTCGTGATTGTTGTAGACATTGCATGTGGATTAGGAATAACTGAAACTAATCACATTGTTAAGTCATTAATTTTGACTATTGCATTAATACAGAAAATACGTGTATTGATTGAGCATTGCATTTGCATACATTGTTTTGTGTGGGAGGAGATAGGGGATGTACTCCACGGTTTAGGGGAAGATAGGGGATGGACCTCTAAACCGGATTTTTTTTGGGAGGAGATAGGGGATGGACTCCATTAGCACCATTTTTATGTGTGCTTATTATATTGAAGTGTTTTTACATGATTATTGATACAGCACTAAAATGTGTATCAAATGGGAAGTATGAAGTGTTTTGATATGAGCATGAGTCTCGTTTGTTTTGTTGATATTGGAAGTAATGTGAATATGAGATACAATTCACTGTTGTAAGTTGGCCAGGTTCTGAGCCATGTTGATAATAATGGAAAGTGAAATGTGTCTTAGACATTAGTGTCATGAGACTGTTTAATGAAAAATTGATTATCTTAGTTAACCATTTATTGAATGCTATAGCTTTATTCAATGCTTATATTTGGTTTAGTATTTTTCTACTGGGCTGTGGCTCACCCTTTATGGAACAT